CAAGATAAAATTGCTTCATGTCAAACTCTCCACCATTATCAGTTCAGACAATTTTTATTTTGGTCTCAAATTGTGTTTCAATTATGGTGCAAAAACTTTGTAACATATTAGATGGTTCTGATTTTAGTTTTAGCATGTATACCCATGTACACCTACTGAAATTATCAACTATTGTTAGGAAATAACGAGATCCATCATAACTCATTTCATTGCAAGGACCCTAAAGATCACTATGTATTAAATCAAAACACTTTTATGATTTGTGTTGACTAACTGGGAAAGGGAGTTTGTGCATTTTAGCTAAAGGATAGACATAACATGGTTTGGAATAATCTAGTTTAGGAATAGTATCTTTAAATGGAGAAACATAAGATGATGGATGTCCCTAACCGTAGTGCCAGATATCAAAATCTTTGGATGGGTTGATTACAGTTGCTGAAATGGGAGGAGATGCAGCTAGGTGAGTCAAGCTTTGTTGAAGAGCTGTAGGAGAGACTGTTGTTTGCAGCATATGATAGAGGCCAAACTTCAATTCACCCATTCCAGTCGTTTTCCAAGTCAAAGGGTCCTGTATGTAGCAATAATTAGCAAGGAAAACAACACAGCAATGCAAAACCTGGGTAAGTTTCCTAACAGATATCAAATTGAAAGAAAAAGATGGGACACAAAGCACATCACGAAGGACCAAAGATTTTGTGACTTGGGCTGTGCCAATTTCAGTAGCAGGTATGGTATTTCCATTTGGCAAAGCCATAGAGCACGTAACCTATGATTAAAAGAGGATAAAAATGATGTGGAATAGACCATATGATCTGTTGCACCTGTATCTAAAATCCAAGGGACATTGAGATTGTTTGTGCATTTAGTTTTAATGGTTGACAGACAATAGGAGATACCAGAGAGCTTTGGAATAATGTCTGAAGTTGAATCAATGTTTTGGACTTGGTTTGCTGATGGTTTGAGCAGGCCATGAGTTGAGAGTACAGCTCCTGAGTCAAAGATACTTGGGTTTTGTTTTCATGTTCCTGATTCAGAGGCATAAGTGCAGAGGCTTGGTTTGCTGCTGCCTTGTATTTGCTCTTCTCTTTATCTTTGTAGCCAAATGGATATCCATGCAACTTGAAGCATTTATTTGCCTTGTGACCATGCATTTGACAGTGAGAACATATAGGCCTGTTAGGGTTGGCCTTGAAGCATCTCTCAAGGGATTGCCCTGCAATTCTACAATGGGTACGATAATAGTTATCTTTCTTATGCAGTGAAGAATTCTGCTTCCTACTTTCTCTCAGGTTCCCTCTAGCAAAGGAGGATAAAACTTCATTCACAGGTTCTTCTACAGATATCTATCACCTTTTTTCCTCTTGTTGTATAGTTGCATAGACTTCATTCAAGGTAGGGAATGGCTTCATCAACAGAATTTGAGCCTTGAGATCCTTGTATGATTCGTTTAATCCCATCAGAAACTTCATCACCCAATCTCGTTGTTGATTTTGGACTACCACTTTCAGCCCTCCACAAGTACAATTGGGAATAGATTTATAGTTCAATAGCTCATCCAGAAGGGTTTTGAATTTAGAGAAATAAACACTCACATTATCCTGATTTTGAACTAGAATTACGATTGCTTGCTTGATTTCATAGATCCTGGGTGCATTGTGCTGTGCAAATCGTTGTTCCAGTTCCAACCACAACTGATGTACAGTCTTAGCATACATAGTGCTGCATTTGATATCTATTGTCATGGTGTTCTGAAGCCAAGTAATTACATCTAAGCCAATGCTCCATTAAAGGATCATTCTGGTCACTTGGCTCACAAAGAGTTCCATCTATAAATCCCAATTTGTTCTTGATTCTAAGAGCTCGTTTCATGGATCTGGCCCAAGAATGGTAGTTGTTTGTCTCTAACATGTGAGTAACTAGCACAGCTCCAGTACTATCATTGCTGCCGATGAAATAAGGGCTGCTTGGGTATGTTGGATCATGAGTCTTCATATCAGATCCACTGACCGGATCAATGTTTGGGTTTTGATTTGAATTTGTGATTGATGAGTCATTTTGAACTTCAACATTTTGTTCAGCCATTTGCAGGCTCTGATACTATATAAGAAAGTAAAGAAATAACAGGAGAATTTGGTGAATAATTTGAGTTTTATTTCTGTTGAATACTTTTGCATAAGGTTACACAGTTTATATAGAGCTACAATGCTTGGGCAAAAAAGAAAAAAAAAAAATCGATTTGTTACAACAAATGGCAGAGGGAATATGCTTAACAGAATGCTGGTGACGTAATGCTTCTAGACACAATTTCTTCTAGATTCTTCCTTCTTTGCTGGATCACCATTGGATGCTATCGTGGCTTGGGCTGATGACTATATTACCAGCTGATCAGGTTGTTCATTAGCGTTTAACACGAGAACTTTCAAGACTCGTTCACGAGGGTGTAACAAATTTTGAGTCAATGACTAATAGAATAAAAGTTAATAATTTTTCTTCTTGTACAGAAGCAGATGTGCCAAAATTTCACTAGCATTAGCATTTGGTTGATCTTTTCTTTTTTCTTGCCATTCTTTAATTGGATGCTACCATGTATATTCTATGAAAATTATGGTAGAGAATTTCTGTACACATAGCACTGTTAAAAGTTTAATGGCCACATTCACAGGAGTTCAGTTTGAATTTATGATTAAGAGTTACTCATCTTTGTTGCTTTAGCATCGTGCAATATCTTGTTCACTTAAGAGATGATCAGAGGTGGATCCAGGCATGGGCCCATGCCCAGATCCAATAAGTCTTTCTCTTTATTTTTTTTATTTTTTTGTTCAGCCCATGTAAATTGAGTGATCGGCCAGTGTCTAGCAAAAAATTCAGCCCATGTTCAAAGAAAAAAAAATGTGTAAGGCTAATTTAATATAATAAGTAAATGGCCCATTGGCCCAAACATACCACCAAGTCCACCATTCATTTA